TAGGTTACTGAAACATAAATGGTGTAGACATTTAATATAATGAAAAAAAATAAAAATTGTAATTCATGTTTTTTTTCTCTTAACGTACATATAAAAATATGATATAAAACTTACACCACCAACAACCATTTAAAATGGAAATTTCGTTGACGATTTGTAAAGTACAAATATTATTACTGTACAACTAATGTTTAAATAATAAATATATACACGAAAAACGAATAACTAAAATATAATGTGTACAATGCAGTGACGGGAATTGTATACATTTTTGAAAAGTTTCGAATTTTAAGTAGGGCAACTTTGACAAATTACAAATAATAAGGATTTGAAAAATGAACAAAATAAAATATCTTTTACATCAAAATATTTTGTGCCTTGACGATGTTTCTTTTGGTGACCATCGCGAGAAAACAAAGACAATTTTATAATATCTGTTTTTATATTCTTCTGCATCACGAATGATTTACTTATTTACTTATTTAAACTCGAAAAACTTTTTTTTTCATTTTTGATTGCGCGTATTTTATTTATATAATATATTATGTACACAGCTTATATTGTTAGCGTTATCGGATAGAAAAAAAAATGCCTGTCGAGCAATTGTTTGAAGAATTGCGACCCATTCGTTTTACGAGCGAATTATAACATTAATATTAAAGTTTAGGTATCCTATCAGTATAGTTTAAGGTGTTAAATATTATTATAATATACATTATTTATATATATATATATATATATATATATACGATGACGTGTATTTTATTTTTGTTTCCAACGTATCTAACGTATCTGAATCTGCAGCTGACGTTTTGCAAACTGCATGGATTCTGACAATATAATAATTATTATTATAAAAGTACGAAATGAACGGAAATATTATACGGAACCATAGCAGTCTTGAAAGATTAATTTTATCTGTGCCTATATGAGGCTGTATATATGTGCCCATTGAATGTGTTCAAAACGAAACGTAAGATAAGATAATATAAAAGGGTTATATTACGCGTGCGACTATGATGTTACACTTTTAAACTGATATAGTCGCATTATTATTTTCGGCTGACTCATGATTTAAACAAAAAAAATAAAAATGTCTAGTCGTTTACGACTGTATATAAATACAGGAGAATATACCGAGCATCATGCTCACCAATTCTTTCTTTTAATATAACGAATCTTATCAAATTCTGACTTATGAAATGTTTAAGCATACTTCTTCTTAAGAATCATATTTTAAAATATAGATCTTTTACACAATTCGAGAAGAGGCCCGTTGTGATRCCAACTCTTTATTTAGATCTTAATCAACCTTTTTAAACCGTAAATTATGTTATTGAATATTTTGATGTATCTAAATCGAAGTTTGATTCATATCGATATCCTGTCTCTATATGAGAAGTTTTTGAGTTATTAAAACGTACCTATTACTAAGGATAATAATAGTGATAAAAATTGTTAAACGAAACTATAAAAGATATGACATTTGATCTGGTACTTAAAATATTATATTCGGACAATTTTTTTCAAAATGTATTTTACATTTATTGTTTCATCATGTTTGAAGATTTATATCGGAAAGTTACTTACATTTACTAATCACCCTGACTAACTAAAAAATTAATCGTTCAAATTTTGATTTGGAAGAATCAACGTTTTCAACGATTTTCTATGTATAGGAAAAATGACGATTCCCATTTAGAAAAAAAAAGAAGTTGATACCATCACATGGTACTCATTAAATAACATATAAATCTAAGGAGTTACTTGAAATCTTACGGTTCTTATAAGTATACTTATAAATTCCAAAAACCGTAATCCAAAAAAATTTAGCATAATTTTTTTAATTATCTTGTAATATACCTATAATAAATATATATAGGCGCTAATAGGGTGCTTATGAGGTATTAGCCACACAAATTTCAAAATTAACGCTCTCAAATAATGTTCGTAATTATGTGTCTATAACTTTTCCTCCTAACAAACATAAAACAAAAAAATGAGAAAACGCATTGCTTATAGAGGCACCCTTGATTTTTTTTTATTGAAATTGCGACTATGATAGGCACATTCAATGCTCATTATGCATGGTTTATCTGAAGGATATATAATGATATAAAATAATATTTAAACGTATAATCTGCAAATTGATAAATTGTTCCAGATACGACACATACGTATTAAAGAAGATCAATAATGTTATATGATTGATAATGGGCGCGTAATGCAGMTCAAGCGCTGATCATATTAATTAATTAAATTATTATTATAACTGGGAAAACGGGAGCGCACTGTAAAGTGGATTACAATAATTCGTTGATATAAAATGTGATGGTTATTCGGAAATTTTGAATATAATTTACATTATGAGTGATACCTACAAGTCATGCTCGAATAATGTGTATAATTTTACAACCAACACATTTGCACGCATTCAGCACACAGAAAAGGTATTATTATTAATTATGTTTAAAATATCAGACGATTTATTTTTTATATTATTATATTGAAATGCTTTCCGATGTGCACAAGGTTATATGTATAGAAAATAAAACGTAGGTAATTTCAAATTTCTCACCTAATTTCTATCCTATATTGCAAAGTATTCCAAATCGATTATATTGTAAAAATGCTTCGAAATCGACTATAGTAGACTAACAAATTATTAAATTATTTTAATATTAATAATCTATAATGGATTTATTCCAGTTCTCATGATGATATTATAATGTATATATTCGTTGTTGCTAATACTGATAAATTACTATAATAATATCTGCTAAAAGCACATAAATATATAGGTACATAGGTTCATACTGATTAATGATTCATGATTTGTTCACGGTATATAGATACATCAACCGAGGGGATGCACAGTCCTCAAATAAATGTTCTCAAGCACCGTAAAAATAATCATTTTAACTGTCACAAAAAAATACTCCTAATCTTAAACGAACAATTTTCTGAGCCATACACTTACGAATGTCATTAGGCCAATCCGTCATATATGCTACTGTTACTTCTGGTCTCATACATACCTAATAGCTTATCCCAAAATCCTGACATTGAATTCATCAAAATTCCTTTCAAGACCCAACATATTGTATCATTAAATCCATTCACAACGCTGTATTGATAATACGCAAATTATTTCGTACTTCATAATAACCTATTATGTACTTCGAAAATCATTAATGTTGTCAATATTAATACAATTTGTTAGTATCATTTTAAAATCACACATCTATATCACTTTACCCATACGTATAACTAATAACTAAATATTTTGTAATCATTTAATGGTAATCGACTTGTGTGTAATATTATAATTAACTTAATATGTTCTATTTTCCATGATATTGTCCGAGTATAATAAATTTAAGTTGAAAACTCAATTAAAAATAAATGAATAAATTAAATATCGACAAAAAATTGATGATGATAATAATAATAATAATAATAATAATAATAATAATAATAATAATAATAATAATAATAATAATAATAACAAAAAAACCTACCTGCTGAACTCATACAGTTAAAAATATTTTATTACTGTAACTCACATACCTACTGCCTGCAATAACATACTTTGGTTTTTTTTTATTATTATTTAGAAATACGCCTCAACTGCCAGGGTTATTGGCGTTTTAGAAATACATGGTGTAATTTAATTTTAATTTACATAAGGATTATAAAGCATAATAAAGTACTTTGGTTTTTATTTTGTTTGATAAATGTATTATATTATATTTGTATTGTAAAATCATATACAACAAAGTATAAAATAAACAAATATTCCAAAGTAAAATATTATTCGGTTAATTTTGAAATAAAAATCAAATTTTGGAAGAGTTATAATCAGTTATAGGAATTTTAAGTTTTGGTGATCGGATTATAGTAGGTATAGAGGACCATAATTTTTCGGGGTATGACACTCCATGTTTCCATTTCATTTATAAACACGTTTAATACTTTTAACTCGTAAAATATACTCATCCAAAATTTGATTTTTATAGAACAAAGTACTCACAAATATATTTTAATTAGTACTATAAGTAATTACAATTTTACGGTCTATCAAGAACCGATGTTGCAATTAAAAAAGTAAATAAAAATTGTTTTTCAAAAACGTTGTTTTTTAACGATTTAATTATTTTTTTCTTCTATAAATAATAAATGTACTAGTTTTTGAAATAATACATGTTCTTCAATAGATGAATCATATTTGTCCTTACGCAACATGTGCGATCACTCTCTATACGGGATAATGAACATTTGGGGACGGTGTATTGGGAATTTCATATCCACTGGCCATGATATAATATCATTGCAGAAAATCACGATATTCATTTTAAATTCTATTTTGGTTATAATAAGACACGTTGAACGATTAAAATTACAAAAAAATGAGTTATGCATTTTATCATTAAACCATATTAGTAATCAATAATAACACTCAGCTAGGTACTTTACAGTCAACTTACTAGGTACAACAATATATCTGCGTGCACTTTCATAATATAATAGGTGCCGGTTTATACCTTAAGGGTAGGTACTTTAACCGAGAACAAAAACTAAATTKCTAAGTTTGGGACTAGAATCAAAAAAAATTGACACAAAATCTTTCTAGATATTTAACAAACTGATAAATGAGACGACAATTTGAAGGATTGATGATGGAATCCACACATTTTCATAACGATTGTTAAATAAAATATATTCAATCACGGTTTATCAAATAATGTGTAATAGTTACTTCGATAACTACCTTTCTTGTTATTAGGTACACAAAATATGTTTTCATACATCAACATGTATAACCAAACCTGCCTAAACATTGTACAATATTTTGTTCAATTTAGTTTGAGTATACTACACTAGTGCTCAAAACTGTAGTAAAACTAAAGACACTACCAAAACCTTAAGTCTGAAAAGTGCATAGGCATTGGATTTACCTGTGACAAAAAGTTTAAGCTACTAATATTGTGATCACTTACTTTTGGTTGTACTCTCAGCGTGATGAGCAGTGAAAACGTGTTCGAGAAGCCGACCGTGTCGAGAAGACTGAACCCATTTTCGCTACCGTTTAACTTACCGCCGACGGTACGCACGCGGTCTCCCGGCGCAATCAGTTCCATGACACCTGTATGCAGTATGCACGATAAGTTTATCGAAATTATTAGATTGAAGTATAGGTACGGCAAAACAATTATTGTTGTTGTTGAAGCGACTGTCGAATCGCAATGCAATTAATGTATGCAACTAGTGCAGTAGGTAGTGATATTTACCGTCACACGGGAAGTCGTTGCACTTCCGCATTTCCTTGTTGTGCCCTTGTCCGCACTTCAGACAACGTCGGTGCCGATACTGCAGTCCGGTGTCACACGACACGTTGCACGCCGACCAATCGCTCCAGTCACCCCAACCTAAAATAAAATAAATATGTAAAATACGAGAACAAAATGTCTTATAATATTGCACGCGTCAAAAATTTTCGGAAGGGAAATTTCGAAAAAATTCCATAAGTTTTCGAGATAAAAATAAATATTTAACGTTGAATTAATAATCTCACCGTATAGTATTATACACAAGTGGTATACGTCATATATTATTGAAATACTGTAAAAACTAAACTCTCGTTTTCGATTTAAAATGACAATCGATTTATTCATTCCATTTTATAAGAGATTTTATATGGTATTTGTATTTCATTATATTATGGTATGCTTATATTTCGAATATTTATACATTTAATTTCTGTAGCAATAAATAAGCGACTTAAGAAATAATTTATACATTTCGAAAGTTTAATGCATATATTCTATTACTAATATTATATAGTTTCGTTTAGTGTGATGGTAACGAAATGATTGTATTATTATTTATTATATAGTGTATTATGAAAACGTATTACGTATAGTTATTAAAAAAAATAATTTAGAAAATAAACTCATTGTTTGAGTAATTACTTTAGAGACATTTTATTTGATATTTAATACAAAATCGAATTCACAATGAAAAATTGACTATAGTACTACTCCGATATAATAATAATGTATGACTATAATATTACATTSACTGGTTCGCAGAGTTTTACTAATTATAATATTTAAATTTAATTCATAGTTATAAATAATAATAATAATTCTGGTTTTACGTCAAACTAATAATTAAAATATTATAAAATATTTGGTTTTAAGTTATTAAATAAGTAGGTAGTATATTAAAAGCAAACTATAAATATTTATACTAATTTAAAAAAGAAATTGCGGTTAAACACAAGTATTGAAAAATATTAAATTATGTAATAGGCAACACAAAATGTTATTAACTGCGCTGAAATTGGCTGGTACTACATGGCAAAGTTATCATGTAGTGAGTTTTAGTGTTTGTAAACGATGATAAATTATTCGAATAACTATTCGGTACAGAGCTCAGTTCACACACACAAAAAAAAAAAAACAGACAACATTTTTCCAAAACAAACTATTATATAATATATACTTTATTTATCGTAAACGATCTACCCAGTTATTCGCTATTTCCTTGAAAACCACTAAGAGAAAACTAAAAAAAAAAAAATACTTTAAGGTAGATGCCATATTTGTATTCCATTTCCAATCTAGAAAAGTGCTGCATGGACCTTTTTGAGCTTTTTTTTACTACCCCCAAAAGTGTTTTCAGAAAAAACCCAATAAGCATCTGGTATATTATACAAAAAATAATAAGAATAAGAAGAAACACATCTTTGTAAATCTAATATTTCTCGGAGCTCTGTTTAGAACGAGTTACATAATTAATATCTTCTACGTCATATCGTATTTGGTACAGAAATATGACTATGTTTTGTTGTTCATACGATTCAAAGATCCATACGAATTTAATGTCGTGTGTATACTTTCCACGTTAATGTATTTATATAATAACAGTAATGCCGTACACGTAACATCAGATTAGCAAAAGATTTAACGTGAATAAAAATAAATTTTAGAGGTACTCGCGTAGAGGCGGTTGGATACAAGCCAATAAGTCGTTTCATTTTGTAATATTATTTCGTAGGTAYACAGATAAGATAAACAAAATAGTTTGCAAGACGATTCGACCAATATAACAAACTTAGTAAATAAATTTCACACTTAAATTAATATCTATCGAGTAATTACATTGCGTTTAAGTCAGTTGCAGGGTTAGGTTTAGTCTATTTAAGATTTTGTTAAGGGGGGTTCGGATATACGTTACCAAACATTTAATTTCCCTAAGGGGGGAGGATATTTTCATCGACAACACCGTATCATTATATTTTTATCCATTCCCTCCATAAGTCCCCCCCCCGTAAATACAATACTGATGTAAATATTTGAGTATAGAAATACACGAAACTGTTTTGTAATTATTTTGTAATGAATGGGATACTACTTCTACTTTAGTATTTTTATTCTTATTTATTATACAATTGTAATATCAAGTTATTTCAATATTTATAATAGTATATAGGTGTTAAGGTACCTATATGGTTATTATTTTTAATGTTATCAAACAGTGTCCTGCAAATTAGATAATCTAGTTACACATCCACTGCAGTGCACTGTCAAGAGACCATTTTTACGGTAAATTAACTGTGCAGCAGCTAGGTTATGACGATAGTGAAAATATTAATTATTTTTGTTTTGGTAAAATAGTAGTCTGATAATTATTAGTAAAAAAATAAATAAAAAATGTTATCAAAACTTTTTATCCCTCCTAATCAATAAATTGCTCCGAATTCAATCAACTGGATGTCGCGTATTATAATGTAGGTTACCATAGTAACAGGGCTATAGATTGGACAAATTCGGCCTACTGATTTTTCTGCAATTAATGCCCACTTACAAACTTAATACCAACAACACTCTACTATGATCTGTGCGAGTCTCCAACATTTAGCGTCCATTTAATTTTAACATATTTTTAGTCGGCGGTCTCGTGCAGACCAATCCGGATCTATATAGCGTTTAGCGTTTACCTTATACTATATAAGTAGGTATGTATACGTATATACGTAATAGACTCGAAACTTTTTTGACGTCTCTCGATCCCGCCATCACGTGAAACTTGACAGCGGTTTCTGTGATTTTGATTTCACGGTATTTGTCACATAGTTGGCCGTCGAGGGTTTTCGTTCCGAATAACTTTATGCGCTGACCGCAGACGACGGACACCCGTTAAACAACCTACCCGCGCTATGTCTTATAAATTGTCAGACTAATTGTTTGCAAACACTTCAGAAATCGGATCGATGCATACCTCGTGTCATTTTTACCAGTGTGTGTGATAGAGGAAGGATCAATAAATTGAAAAGATGAAATTATTAAACGTCCATAATACAACTTACAGTATAGCTGGTAATCCCTCGTTATCCATGGAGGTTACGTTTCATGGAGGCTTCGCGGATAAAGATTTATGGTGAGTATATTAATAGTACATAACATGTTGCACTTTAATATGCGCTTATCTCTAATAGCATATAGTATGTTCATATAACATTATATACGTGACCATATATTATTAAAGTTACAGAAAAAAAAAACAAATTATAGCGGTCGAATTATTACGATTATAGTTATGTTATAATAATATTGAAATTTTAACGATTTATTAATTTACGGGTACCTAGAGAAATTATATTATATAATTAATATTTATTTAAAATACTTTGTTTTGAAGCTAAATTATAATACTGATATTATACGCACGAACGAGTGAAAAAACAATTACGAAGAAGTAGGTAGTTACAATAAAATTATGAATTTGATAAATAAAAATCATAAAAATAATGAAAAATAAAATGTTAATGCTTTGCGTACGTCATATTCAACAGCGTTATGGAGTGATACATAAACCATACATAATAATATTTAAGAGGCGGATCATTATTGCGTCTCTTTTCAATCTTGTTTCATTAATACGTCATGTAAATTTACGAAAAGTGAGTGGCACACATATTCTGGCAATGAAATATTATATTATACCGTAGTTTATGACACTATACAAGAGCTCAACAATAATTAAATACTATTATACTATCGATGTATAATTTATTATATAAACCGTATTATAAGCACAAATAACAGGTAGGACAAAGAGTTCACTGAGTAATAAATACATTTGTTTTAACTGAATCGAAAAGTGTTGTGAAAATTCATAGTTCTAATTCTAATAGTAAACATTTAAAACATAATATAATATATTGTGTAACGAAAAACCAGAAACTATGCGAAACTTGTATATCGTTTTTCGTGCGCAGTGGAGTACTCATTTTGGAGAATTTAATCCCATCCTTTTTCTTTAATAAGAAAGATTATATATATATAAATAATATTATTATACACTTATTTTTGTGTAATTCACAGAATAACAATTGTTTTCGTTATTGACCGTCATTTTATTTAATCTTTGTTCTCAAACACAATCAATACTCAATAGTTACTCGAATCAGATATTTTTATGATAATCCGTTATACTTATGAAATATAATTTATGATACTTGAATTATTATAAATACAATAACGACCATAATTTTCATAATTTTTAACAATAAAGGTATCCGTTCCTAGATTAGGTATATTACATAGATTGGTGTTTATTAGGTAGTCGTCTCGTTTAAGCTTTAACCGCACAACAAACGAGATAAAATGTTGGGCATGAATAAAAAATAACGTTAAACGTAACCTGCTGGACCAAACGGTTGATTGTTGAATGATCAGAGAAAAATCCGAAACTGTAATAAATCGTTTTTTATGTATATGCGCGTTTATGAGACAATAATATGTACGTAATATGATGATGGCACGATGAATGAGGCACAATCATCAGTTTTCCCTACACTGTGCACATTTCATTCGGATCTCCAAAATATATGTGTATACACGTTTCGATGCATACAAATTATATACATTTTGTGGTAATCCCGGGCGAATATTTTGCATACGTTTTATCTTATATACAGTTAAGTAGGGACTTATATAAACAAACGTGGTAGTCGTGGTACTTGTAAGCTCGTTTTTCGAGGTCACGGTTTCAAGGACATGTTTTGAGAAGGAAGAGTCTTCCCCCTACACACAATTGGAGGATGATATGAACATTTTATTTTTACACCTGCAGTATATCTATTTATATCCCAGGAGTAATCAGAATTTGATTTGGAAAGGGGACTTAGTGGATGTTGGATAAAAAAGAGTTTCACAAAATTGATAGTCACATTACCGCAGGGGCTTCTCCTCACAAAACCCTTACTGCAGCAATCATGCCAAAACAATATTAAAATTGTTGCACAAGTATAAAAAAAAAAAAAAACCAGAAGTGTTGCAATAGTATACGCTTGGTACCTTGCAGCTTTTCGCTTCAAAAATTAGAACAAATAAAAATGAACTTTGTTCCCCACACCCCT